ACTGAATTGTACAACCGAAGAATGCTGAAATGGCAAATGTTTTGTATGTGTTCATTTACCATGACAATAAATAAATAAAGCATTACTTTAAAAAAAAAAGTGGGAAAAACAAGGTGGCGTGTGCACAGTATACTATATTTTCAAATAAAAAGAGGAGAGGGAAATGAGAATTTTGTAATACACAAAGAAACCCTGGAAGAATACACAAAAATTGGTAAGTGTTTACCAACAGGTGTGATTAGAGAGAGATAGGGTTGGGAGATAGGGTTTATTGGGCATTTAAAGAAAATGCAATAAAAAGTTTGAACTTTTGCTCGAAAAGTAAGTGAAAAATGCCTCTTTCTTGGTTTGAGTTTATGCTGTTCTTGTATTCCATTTTCAGAATCCTGGTGTGGCACTGCAGACTAATGCTCTGGACTGCAGGGTCGGTTTGAACCAAAAGGTCAGCAGTTCAAGCTCACCAGCCGCTCCTCAGAAACCCTATACAGGGTTGCTATGAGTCACATTGACTCGAAGGCACTAACAACAACAACCACAACAACAATAATATCTTCCTTTTGAATTATGTGTGTGATAGATAAGGAACCCTAGGGATGCTGTAGGATAAGCACTGAACTGCTAGCCACAAGGTCAGAAGTTCAAATCCACCAGCTGATCCCTAGGAGAAAGATGAGGCTTTCTTCTCCCTTAAAGACATATCACCTCAGAAAGTCCTCTACAAGGATCCCTGAGTTGGAGCCAACTTGATGGCAGTAGGTTGGGCTCGGTATGACAGATAAACAAGCCCACCACAGAGAATTACTAACAGCGCTGAGTACTGGTCTCTAGAGGGGCAACAGAGACATACAAGGCTCAGTCGAGAGGCTTCTAGTGTTTAAAAGAAAAAGAAAATTTATATCTGCAAACAGAAAAAGTCAATAAAATTAATTTTAGCATTTAGAAATGCCACAGTGTGAAAATATCAATTGAAGACTAGAGGTGTCTCCTAGCACAAAGGACAATTCATGTAACTTCATGAAATTCAAGCTTTATCCTATTGCCTAGACAACTAGTGAGAATTCAGGTTAGAGCCAACAGCTAATTCCTGCTGTTAGTGGAAATGTACACATTAACCTAGCAATGGCTTTGTCAATAATTACCATCTATTTACTTTGTCCACGTTGGGGCTTAACCTGGGAAATCTCAGGAAGGAAAAGCCTGCCAGAAACAGTTGGTATTCATATTAGGAAAAGAGTGAAACAATCATTATCCATGTAACACCAGGCTGAGGGCTCAGATGCCAAGGTCAGGAGGTCTTTGGGTACTTTAATGTCTGCGAAGTCGCCGAAACCTTATTGCTCAGATTCCATCACATCCTGAGGACACTAAAATCATAGAAATTGCCTTATTCTTTAGAACTTGCTTTACAAACATGAAATTCCAAAGTAGTCTGTCCAATTATGCTTTTCAAAAGAAAAGCCTTTTCTTTAAACTGTTCAAGAGCAAAGATGCCAGTTTGAAGTCTAAGGTGTGCCTGACTAAAGCCAAGGTATTTTCAATAGCTTCAGATGCATGTGAAAGTTGGATAATGAATAAGGAAGACCATAGAAAAATTGATGCGTTTGAGTTATGGTGTAGGAGGAGAATAATAAAAGTACCATGGACTGCCAGAAGAACAAACAAATTGTGTTGGAAGTACAGTCAGAATGTTCCCTGGGAGCCAGGATGGTAAGACCTCGTCTCTCATACTTCAAACATGTTATCAGGAGGGACCAGTCCCTGGAGAAGGACATTATGCTTTGTAAGGTGGAGGGTCAAAAAAAGAGAGAAAGACCGCCAACTAAGATGGATTGGCACAATGGCAGCAGCAATGGACTCAAATATAACAACAGTTGTGAGATGGTGCCGGACTGGACATATTCCGTTCTACTGTGCATATTCCGTTACTACGCACACTAGAATAACCTGATAGCACCTAACAAAAGCATTATCAGTAACTCAGAAAATCGTGGCCAACAAAAGGGATTTTATTTGAAAAGACAAAAAGAGTCTGTTTATATCTGTATCTTTAAGGGAGGACAACTCTCTATGTATTCTACTTAAAATAACTCTAAGGTTTTATGGCCTCCAAAGATTTCATTAAAATTTAGAACCAAACATAAGCTTCACCTTTTACTAACTCTTATTTTGGAACTGCATACTCTTTAATAGATTTAGTTTGTTGTATCTGTAGAGGGTGGCCACACCTAATGGGAATAAAGAGTGATGAAGGTGTAGTGCTATATGATAAGCACTGGACTGCTAACCACAAGGTTGGCGGTTCAACCCACCTGCTACTCAGAAATCCTAGAGTCACTATGAGTCCAAGCTGACTCATTGACACTTAAGAACAACAACAAAAGCTAGAATAAGAAGGAAGTCTGATAGGATGTGTAAGAAGAGCTCAAGCTGTGGAATCGGAACCAAACTATCTGCCATGGGTTTTTTATTTATGGCAACATCTTGTGTGTCAGAGCACACAACCACCACCACCACTAGGGATACAGTGAGCAAATGTATCAAAAGACAATAAGCCTAAACTGTTTCATCTACAAGCACATACACACAGGCTTGAGGTCCAATACAGGATTTAAAGACGTTTTAAGCCGCAGAAGCAGGAATGAATTATTTATCAGGCCTCCAAGATCATGGAGTTGAAATGTTGATGACTGTACAACAGTATCCGGTTCCAAGAGAGTATTGTCTGATCGAGGATCAGAAGCAAAATGCATCCGTTGTTTGATTCAATATGTGAATTGAGCAATTTATGCATTCTATTAATTAATTTTTCTACACACTAAGACTAGTTGTCAAGTGTTTTAACTTTTTTCCCAGTGCAATTTCCATAAAAACAGGGAACAAGTACAAAATGAAAGAATATTAATACTATGTTGTTCTTATGTGCCATTGAGTGGGTTCTGATTCATATCGACTCTGTATAGGTTTTCTGAGGTTGTAAATTTTTGCGGGAGGAAAAAGTCTCATTTTTCTCCTGCAGAGCAGCTGGTGGGCTCAAACCGCCAACCTTGTGATGAGCAGCTCAGTGTTTATCCTACAAAGTAGGATGAAGTATTTATTAAAACAAGATTATTATATTATTTTCTGAGCGGATAAACAGCTGTTTCACCTGTTGGATATTTGCCCACCCAAGAGTCAAGCCCTTGAAATTAATAGTTTTATCAGCTTTTATAGCTATCAGGAGGATTTTTGCTATGATTTTAAAACCAGGAAGCTACTCCTAGGATATCGGAAATATAGTAAGCGCAAAAGAAGCCAGGATAACTGATATATCTTTCTAATGTATCTGTTCTTCCTCAAATAATTCACACTGAAATAATCAAGGATATATTGAGTGACAGAACACAAAATCCACCTGATTTCATAAAATAAAACATGAAACATCAAGGAAATTGCTCCTCTCACTGGCTTCCTCAGAGCACACTGAAAGGCACACAGGCCTTTCCTCCTCAGAAGAAACGTTGGCAAGACTGTGCATTAGGAGTGATTTTCTCCCATCTTTCCACATTGTTGTCAATGACAAATTTTGTTTTGTTTTAATGTAGTTTTCCCCCTACTTTCAAACTTTCCATTGCTTTCTATTATCTACTAAACATATAAATAAGCTATCACATACCATGGAAATACTAGCACTCTGACATTTCTGACTAGAACAGAGTGGCTGGTTTTCAACCGGAATTCCGAAAACCCTTTGCTCTCTAGTCCAAATCAGCTTGGAAGATGTTTCTGTTACTGAATAATTAATTGCTGGAGTGCTAAAAGAAGGCATACAAAAAGGAGTAACTAGAATGTAAAGTTCTTCCAAAAGTTTTCCTTAGAGAAGGCTGTAAAATAGCTTGAAAAAATTTGCTTAACCTTCAAAGCTTTGTCCAAAATATTAGTCATTCACAATGGAAAGAATCAGCTGTAAAGGCACACACCGGTCTATGAACCTGCAGTACTCATCACAGAAATCATCTTAATCATTTGTTCACTGCCCGGAATCCTGGTGGCATGGTGGTTAAGTACTCGGCTGAAGGTTAGCGGTTCGAACCCACTAACAGTCTTAAAACCGCTCTGACAGTCTTAAAAACATACGTCCTTGGAAACCCCATGGGGGCAGTTTGACTCTGTCCTATAGGGTCTCTATGAGTTGGTACAGACTCACAGCGGTGAGTTTTGGTTGGATTTTATTTTCTTCTACCCACCCCTGGCGCTGCGGATCAGCACTAGACTGCGAACCACAAGGTCAGTTTTCCTTGTAAACCCTATACAGGGTCGCTATGAGTCGGAACCGACTCAATGGCACTTAACAACAACAATCCCTGCCCGCAAAGATGGGCGGAATCCCCTGTATCTTCAACATCTACCCAAGCGTTTAGCATACAGTAAATGCTCAAAATATATCTTTTAAATTTTCTTTTCAAGATTTAGTGAGAATCACTTTTATTTGCATATATATTTGTCAAGAAATATTAAAATAAGGAGGGGGAAAGTGTATTCGGCGTCTTAAAAAGTGCAGGAACCTGTTCGATGGAGCGAATGCCCGTCTGCCCTCTTGGCAACAGTTGCTATTTCCAAAGGCTGACCCGAGAGGAAGCGAGAAGTTCTTGTTAGAAAAGTGGCATCCTGCGTCTCTACTTATGACCAGTGAATTTGTACTTGTAGGGAATGAAATAGGACCTGCTTGAAGGACAGGAAATTACTCATTCGTTTAGAAGCAGAGATTTATGGTCAATTCCCCATCAAATCAGCATATCCAATGACCCCAGTCGGGTGGTAGCCTAGCCGGTCCGGCAGCACCAACACACGGCCGCACCCTCAGGTGCCAGAGCGCGGGGGCCCAACATCAGAAGAGTCCACCCTCATCCCAGGGTTCGGCTCCCCATCTTCCGGGAAGGAATCCGCCCCCTGCTGGCCGGGCCCCGCACCAGTCTCTCCCTTTGGACCCCCGGGAGCCAGGGTGGGTCTGGGGTCCTGCTCACCGCTGCGGCACTTGCTGCTGTTGCCGGCCTTGTTCAGGGCGCTGCTGGAGCAGCCCATGGCGGCGCTGCAGGTACGAGCAGGAGGGCCGCCTGGGGATGAGTACAGCCACCTGTCTCTGCTCGGGTGAATGTTCGCGGAACTCGGAATCGCGCACCCACCGCGCTCCGAGCCGCTCAAGTTCCTCTAACTTTCCCCGGTGGCTCCGGCGGGCACAGGGCGCAAGCGCACAGGGGGTTGCTGGTACCGGGTTCACACCTGGAGAGGAAAGAGAGCAGAAAGGAGTAGGAGTCGGGAGGGGTGAGAGGGATAGAGCAAGAACACAAGGAAGCGGGAGAGGAAAGGGACAAGAACAAAGTAGCAAAAGGAAACTGGTACCTAAAGCAGGGCTAGGAGGTGTTAGGGGCAAGAGGTGGGCGGGACTCTGAATCATCACTAAATAGCATGGAAGGGAGGAGGCGGTTGTGACCAGTAGCTACAGACAGGCGCCCAGTTTAATTTTCTTATATAACTGTAGTATAATTATCACAAGGAAGCTTTACTATCACCTAATCCACCATCCACATTCTACTTCTGTCAGTTGTCCCATTAGTAGATCTACATACACATCTAAGGAGCCCTGGTGGCATAGTGGGTTACATTACGTGTTGGTCAGCAGTTGGAATCCACCAGCCATTCTACAAGGGGAAGATGACGATTTCTGTTCCCTTAAAAATTTACAGCCTCCCTACACGTGGGCACACCACCACCACCACATACCTGTGTGTTTGTGTGCAGAGCAGCAGATGATGTGTGAGTCCCTGGTAGTGTGCAATGCTCAGTGCACTACTGTTAAACCTCAGATTGGCAATTGGAACCTATCTGTTGGTGTCACAGAACAAAGGCCTGGCAAGGAGCTTCATATAAATTATAGCCAAGAAAACCCTATGGAGCAGTTTTGTTCTATAACACGAGGTCGCCAAAATCAATAGGTTGAGATACTTACATGATCCTGGGGTCCGGTGAGGCGCTGTTAAGATAACCACTCGATCTCAAGGTGGGTATGAACCACAAGTTCAGTGGTTCAAACTCATCAGCTGCTCCTCAGGAACCCTATACAGGGTTGCTTTGATTTGGCACAATCTTGACAGCTCTTAACAACAGCAACAACAATATATGATCCTATCTTATTGCTGTGGAATCTTGGGCCACACACTGCATATAGCTGTCATGTGTCTTTATTGTCCCTAGCCCTGAGCAGCTCCTCTCTTCGTGTTTCATGATTGTGACATCTTTAAAAGAACAGGTCATTTATTTTGTATAACATTATTTAAAATACACATAAATTCACCTGTTTCTATTTAAATTCCTAGACAGAGTTTTTTTGGTGGATTTGGGGTGTTTTTTTTTTAATGTTTTATTGTGAATTATGTGATAGATTACATGGGAGAACATTAGTTTTACATTCATCCTATCGTGTATCGTTTCATTGCCATGATTACAATCCGCTCCATGCAACATCAACCAACCAAAGGGTATTCACTACAAGCCTGTCCCCCCACCCCACCCCCGGGTCGTCAGCACACAGCCCTTCTCCCTCTCTGTGTCTAAAGTCCCCAGCTGCTCCATTGCTCCACGTCATGGTCTCTGCCTCCATCTCAGGTATCACTGCTTCTCTGGGTAGGGTCCCGTTCTCCACTCTTCTCCCTTGATTGTCCCAGGGACCTCTGCTCCTAGACTGAAAAGTTAATCACTCCCCTCCTTGCTATAAAATGTCTACCTTTACATTTCCAACCCTCACAATCAGTCCTGATAACAATTATTCACTATTGTATCACAAGAGACAGATTGGATATTACTACTCAGTGGAGATTCTACTACTTTCCTTTACACCCTCTGGATCTAGGTTGTATTTGGTTTTATAAAATTGTTTATATTGTGGAAAAATATACATAACAAAACACTTTCCACTTTATCTTTAGGCGACATGAATTACATTCACCATGCTGTGCTGACCTCACCTCTGTCGAGTTTCAATTTTACATCCTCCCAAATACTCAGGATCCCTTCAGCAGTTAATTCCGCTTCCTGCATCTCTGTTCAATATTTTGTGCAGCATTTTTGTACTGATATTCATAAGTAATTTTACTCTGCAAATTTTTTGTATCGTCTTAGTTTTAGATATCAATACTTAAAGTAACTAGTAAGCTTTCCTTGATTTCCTATGTTGTTGTTAAGTGTCATCGAGTCGGTACTGAATCATTGTGATCCTGTATAGGGTTTCCGAGGAGCTGCTGACCTTGTGGTTCACAGTCCAGGGCTGATCTTACAGTGCCACACCAGGAGTTCATGCTTGGCAACAATTAGGTAGAATTGGTGTAAATGAACTTTGAAGCTTTCATCAAATTCTTCTCATGGAACCATCTGAGCCTGGCGCTTTCAGGTGGGATGATTCCTTAAATTTCTGTCTTTTCCAAGAGAATTTGTACTATTTTTTTTCTTTCTTTAATGAGTCAGTATTTATAAGCTGTATTTTCCTAGGTAACTATCCAAGCTATTAATTCCCATATACTTTTGCAATCATGTTTGTTGACTAATAATAGAAGCAGCTAATGACTCTTAGGCTCTTAACAACAATGTCTATTGAGATAGTGCAGTGGCTCCGTAGGATTTGCATTGGACTGTCAACCACAAAACTAATGGTTCAAGCCAATCAACTGCTCTGTGGGAGACAAATGAGGCTTTCTGCTCCTGCAGAGATCTAAAGACTCTGCATCAGAAACCTAATACAGGATCACTGTGAGTAGGAATCAGCTTGACAGCATTTAACAACAACAACATCTGTTGAAGGAGCCCAGGTGGTGCACTGGGTTATGCACTGGCTTGCTAACTATGGGGCTGGTGGTTCAAACTCACCAGCTACTCTGAGGGAGAAAATGAGGCTGTCTACCCAGGAAAGATTTACAGCCTGGAAACACTATGGAGCACTTCTACTCTATCCTACAGGGTCACTATGAGCTGGAATGGTCTCAGCAGCAATGGGTTAATGTCTACTGACCATTAACTTTAAGCTGGACCTGTTCTAAGCCCCTTTTTTCCCCCCCACTTTTTTTTTAATGTTTGTTGTGAATTATGTGATAGTTTACATGGGAGAACATTAGTTTTACATTCATTCTATCATATATTGATATATTGTTTCATTGTCATGGTTACAATCCCCTCCAAGCATCATCAGCTAACCAAAGAGTATATACTACAAGCCTATCCCCCGGTCGTCAGCACACAGCCCCTCTCCCTCTCTGTGTCTAAAGTCTCCAGCTGCTCCATCTCTCCACGTCATCATCTCTGCCTCCATCTCAGGCATCACTGCATCTCTGGGTAGGGTCCCGCTCTCTGCTCTTCTCCCTTGATGGTCTTAGGGACCTCTGCTCCTAGATTGAAAAGTTGATCACTCCCCTCCTTGCTACAAAACATCTACCTTTACATTTCCAACCCTCACAATCAGTCCTGAGAACAATTATTCACTATTGTACCACAAGAGACCTATACGCATTTCATCTCATCAGCCCCACCCAGACAGATTGGATACTATTCAGTGGAGATTCTACCTTCCTCCACACCCACTGGATCTACGTTCCTTTTTGAAAGCTTGTAAGTCAGTCACTTCTTGCCTTTGTAGCTCCCCCACCCCCACCCCATTTTGGATAGCCAATGTCCAAGTTGCCCATTCCTGTCTACTCTGTGTATGGTGGGGGTGGGAATGATCCTTGCTGTAAAGATTTGTTCCCTCTTTTAAGCTACTACATCCATAGGTGTAGGTCAAGTTCATCAAATTGTATCAAATTAATCTTTTTTCCCTCTTCTTTTTTCTTCTAGTTGAGCTCTGATCATCTAGTCATTGAAGCCAGGTCAAGTGGGTATGTTATCTGCAAGTGTGAGTGTTCTTGTGCATATGCCCTCTCTTCTTATCAGCTGGATGCTTCACTCTTCACTCTAGTCCTCTGTGACTATGTCACTGACTCTGGGCCCAATAGTCCCCAGGTCTTGGCACACTGCTGACCAACCAGGTTTCTACCCGGGTTCACAGGAGTCCATTGAACGTTGTAGGGCTTAGCTCTAAGCCCTTTTACACTTAGTCCTCATAAATAATCCTACAAGGGAGATGGAATTTTTATTACCTGTTTATTACAGATGAGAACATTGGTAAAGGTAAATATGCAACAGTATATTGACAGGGAACTGCCTGAGGTTCAAGCCTGATTCAGTATAGGGCGTGGAATGGATATTGTTGCTGGCATCAGATGGATCTTGGCAGAAAGCAGAAAATACCAGAAGGATGTTTACCTGTACTTTGCAAAGGCTTTTTGACTGTGTGGGTCATGACAAGCTAAGGACAACATTGTGGAGTATTCCGGAACACTTAATTGTGCTCATGAAAAACCTATACATAGACCAAGAAACAGTTGTTCAAACAGAACAACTTATTCAATTTGTATGCTAAGCAAATAATCTGAGAAGTTGGGTTATATGAAGAAGAATGTGACATCAGGATTGGAGGAAGACTCATTACCAACCTGCAATATGCAGGTGATACAACTTTACATGCTGAAAATGAAGAGAACTTAAATATTTACTGATGAAGATTTTAAAAACTATAGCCTTCAATATGGGTTGCACTTCAATGTAAAGAAAACAAATCCTCACCACTAGACCAGTAAATAACATCATGATAAATAGAGAAAAGACTGAAGCTGTTAAAGACCTCTTTTTTTTTTTTTTTTTTGTACTTTTTATTGTGAGGTGAATGAAGATCATTGGTTTTACATTCAACAAATTATAAGCTTTGTTTCATCTCAATGATTACAATGCCCTCCCTGCAACAACCGTTATCCTACTTCCTCCCTTTAGCTTCCCTTTTACATCTTACATTTCACAAATGAACAAAGAAAAACTATTTGATGTACACATACAAAACAAAAAATACACATGAATTTAAATGGCCAAAGGGCACATTCTGCAAGTCAGCCTCCTGCCTGCAAGCACACAGCCTTACTCAGTCCATGGGCCTAGAGCCCTCAGCT